AAAACACGGCAACCCTGCTAATGTATTTGCTCCCTATGCATGGAGAGTTTGTTTTGATGTAGAGGTGGACTCTCAGGGTAGGGTGGGATATCCCCTCCATTTTGGCCTCAACTTGAGAGCTTCTTTTGAGCTTGGGAGTTGATTTCAGAGAAAACCAGTAGCACCATCATGTTTCTCGCAAACTTTTACATGAGAATCAACAGTCAAATCGCAAATTCCTCACACATGCAACATCTCCATTCTCTCTATAAAGGGACTCTAGGGTTGATGAGAGAGAGGAACTTTAATTTGAAGACCGAGTCCGGCACCCATAGCACTATACTGGAAGAGAAGATGAAATTTACACTCGGGGATGAGACGGTGATGATTATCTCGTCACTTATGACTCACTCGAGAATGAGCAGCTTGCGTGTGGGACACACTCCAAGAGGTAAGTGGATTACGACTCGCCGCCTCCGAATGCAGCGCCAGCATCTCGCCCGCTCAATTTTTCTCTAATTAATAGATTTTCCTTTTTAGAAAGTGAATTCATTCCGTCATATTATTTTCTGATCACTTTTACTGAATCTCCCTTACGCGGCGGCGCGGCGCCTCGCACACAAGAAATTATCCGCTCACTTTCAGTTTCAGTCCGTGATCCCAAACTTTTTCGGCAGGCTTTGTCAAAATACTGGTCCACGGGTGATTTTAATTAAAAAATGAAAGTAATGGGTACGGTCAAGGGTGAAGACTTATATTTCTCTTTCTTTTTACGACTGCTTAATTATTTCTTGGTTGCAAGACCCCACATACTGTTAAAACGATCTGTCAACCAATAGGAAATCACAATTCACTGGGAAAAAACACATTGGATCTAGAGTCCAGACTCTTAAAAACATCGACAAGAAAAAATACTCTTGATTCAATCAGATTTAAGCTTAGATCAAGACCGAACCTCTTAATTTGAGCGGATTTCCTTTTGATTTAAGCTTAAATCTGATTGAATCAAGAGTCCTTTTTCTTGTCAATGTTTTCAAGAGTCTGGACTCTGTATCCAATATGTTTTTTTTCCAGTGTTGGAGGATAAAATGCACGAGGGTAGTTTTTGAAAAAATTGAGATATCAATGATTTCAACTAAAAGTAGTCTTAAAATCCACTTTCCGGCCAAAGTATCACAAGCGCCATGCGACGTTTCAAAATTTCCGACTCCATTTTATTTTTTTACGGAGAAAGTGTTGGTTGAATCTGTTTGAAAATTTCATTGAATTTTATCGCAGCTCAAAGAAAATACAGTGAAATTTGCAGACAGCTTCGTCGGAAAATTTCTCTGTACAAAAAGGAAATGGTCGCGGAAATTGTGAAACGTCGCATGACGCTTGTAATATACTTTGGCCGTAAGTTGACGAAATATAGAACGTGAAAAATTCACTATTAAAATCCAATTTTCAAGCATCAAAAAATGAGTTTAAACTTTCTTTTCACCATTTGGCAATTGGCTCCATGTGATTATGAAACTTTAAATACGTACTTATTAAAATAGCAAAAACTGAACTTAAGCGCCTTGTCCTTAAGCCCCGTAGTATAGATATCAATCAGGAAAATAAAGTCTTAAATTTTACTGCCGTATCGATATCATAAAATATGTACGGTGTTTTGACACTTGACAATGATTAACTCAATATTCCATGTAAACCACCGCATGTAAAAACAGGATTGCTTATTGTTCTTTTGTTTTATTGCCGTTGAAAGGAGTTGCAAAAGAAGGAGAAAAAACTCTTGCATTGAATAATAATACACCAAAAAGTACCCTTTTGACATAAGTTACTTTAAGGTTGCAATGAAAAACTTACTAAGTAGCAATATTTTTCTGAAGTATATTTTTCTGAGTAGTTAAACTCCTACAGAAATGATCGATTTCGCTTAGCGGCGTTTTTCTTACCCTAGCGTTCAAGTCTCTGAAGACGAGGCCCTATTCAACATGCTTGTTTAATAATATTAGCGCAGTCACCTCCACTGGGGTTTTTTTAATTAATATTTCAATGTTGATGATGAAAATATAAGAATAAAAATTTAAATTTAGAAAACACTCTTTGAAAAACAAATAAGTCTCTAGCACATGAATGATGTTAACAAATAAGCATACACAAAAGTGATGAAAGGGGGATTTCTGCATTAAAGCTATTTAGTAACCTGAACAGAAGGATGGAAGAAGCCATTTTTAAAATTTTGTAAGTGGAGCCATTCAGATAGGAAATGCAGATCTCCAAATGAAAGCGGAAATACGTTCATGATTAGTCTGAATTGTATTTCCTTATGACATACTTCATTATTATACGCATTAACTTCCGTATTGGTTACCACCTGAAAGTTCCGCGCAAGATTTACGGAACGGCCCGCGCAGGAAGTTTGATTGTGAAACAATGCATTGATGGATTGCAGGCTGATAAATTTAACACCCACACAAAAGCTCCCTCAGCAATGGTCAATTTGTTAGCGCCTGCCTGTCAACCTCTTAATTGTTACGAGCAACTTTCCTCGGCGTATTTCCATAAATTACAAGCGGCCAACGACCGCACACCGCAATTTGCATTCGATGAAAGTTACCAATGTTTTTCTCGTTGGAGCATCACATCAATTCATTTAAATTCATCCTTATTAGTAATTCATAATCTGAGAGGGCCTTACGCAATCGACCGCGCCACGCATTGAGCGGACATCGTAATAATTTTAGCCCGCCAAAAGTCACAAAAATACTTCTGACGAGGGTTTGACGGAGAAAGTGAGCGATTCAGGTTTTTTTATTTAGAGGAGGTGATGGTAAAAAGTGTACAAATTTCGAGAGATCCATGCACTAGTCGACCGGTTCTTCTCAATGATATTCGAATACAAAATGCGCCTTTCATGCAGGATGAAAATGCTCAAACCAAAGTTGAACTTTTTGAGTAGACAACTCACACACATAGTTTCAGAGGCCGTTAAGTACGATGATAATTGAGCCAATATTAGGGGACATTTGCATCTAGAAAACTTTGAGACTCGGAAAAATCCATAGTTTATCAAGACGTATTTTTTTAATATGCATTATTGTGAATCTCTAAAACAAAATTCATTTATTTGTTTTGTATCTCTTCTTGTCAAGAAAAATATTTTGTTTTTTGCCGGAAAATTTTATTCGAAAAAACCATCACGATACTTTCCGGAAAGAAACGAAGATAGACGATTGGAGAAAGCAAGATTCTAAAACGATTCGCGTCGTGAGGTAATTTGCTGTAGCTTTGTGTCCTTAACTTCAGCTAATTTTTCCTATTAAGAGGATTGACATCTAAAGCTTTAACGTGACGCAGTTCCGTTGAGCCAACCTTTGACCAAAATAAAGGTGGGTTTTGGCAGGTTTTTTCTTCCTCTTCTTCTTTTCTTACAAGGTTCATCATAAACTCTGCGATCCTCGATATCCCTCAATTGTGTATTTCCTTTTGATATTCAACGTGAATAACTGTGGATTTGGCTAACTTACGACCATCTTGACCCAAAGCTGAAGCAAAAAGCCCAACGCACCAGCGTCAAACAAGAAATGTTAATCAGTCACCTACGAATTTACATATTATAAGGAGCGATAGCTACCCCGTCAAGTAATAGGTTTTCACGCATACGTTTTTAGCCTAAAAGACTAAGAGAAATTCGGAGGTATCATTTAAGACGATATAGGAGAAAAATTACTCGCGTGTGCTCTTGACGTTTGGACCCTTTTTAAGGGATTTTGGCTTAATTTTATGGCATCGTTTGGCGTTTTTTTCTTGAGATTTTCCTCTCAAGCAGATTCCCTCCCCTCCGAAAACGTTTCGCTCTCAATTTGGCCCAAGTTGGCTTAGGTTATAGGCTCTTGAAGAAATTATCGATATTTTGGATCATGCTCTTAGAGGTAAATGAAAATATGAATGCAATCATCGTAATTGTAAGGCAATACTCACTATGGCTTTGAAAAAAAGTGGAAGATAAAGTCAAAACTTTTGTTTGGTTTCATAGGGGATTAAAAGTCTTCTGATCTCTACATTGGAGCATGATTTCGAGAGCTTTCGTATGAAAACACGTACATCAATTGCAGTACCTAAAGTTCTAAATTCCACTTTTATGTACTTTTTGCATTGAAAACGAGCCGACTTCTTCTCTTAAAATTTTCATAAAATATTCAGCACCCAGAGAAGTAATATTACAGAAATTCAACAAATGAGATTGGCCACTTTCCGAACATAATATATAAATTGACGGAATGTTTGCGATGTCATTTATTGTGAGACTGACACTCATAATTTTGGGATTCAGTCATGAATTTGGGTTTTCTATTTTGCCTTAATTTTAAATCCTTATTGCTGCATAATGATCATCGTACAAAACCTAGAAAGCGCTTGCTCTTAATTTTTAAAATTAGTGGCGATTACTAAAAGATTTTCAGAAATATTTTTGAGAGCAAAAGTGCAATTTTCTGCAATTTAGGCAAATTCAATTCTCCGCAAAAGCCATCGTATAGCAGTTGAATAAGACGGTTAACAATGCGTTTACGTTGTTTTGGTATTAACTTCCACTACTTTTGAAGTGCGTTACTTACACAATAAACTTATTCGTTCAAATTTTTAATCCTTGTTCTTTTAAAAAGTAGAGAGTGAACATAGATCACAGGGATTTCCTTGATATTTTTTTTACAAAATTTAAACCAAGAAAAATAAGTAAGAGTTTAAATACGCAACTTTAAACTCGTTTTTCGTGGATCAATATTGTTCAATACAATCGTGGAAAATCTCTGTAAACTGTTTGTGCTATTCTATTCACAAATGCAAGAATTAAAATTACTGAGCAAGATTATTGTTGCTTTAAGTTGTCTCCAAATTTATTCATATCTTATAAATAAATATAAAAAAACGAAGTAGAAGAAAGAAGAGACTGGGGCAGAGACAATAAATAATGTTGAAAGCGAGCATCTTTAGAAACAAGAAACACAATTTTAATGAGCTGATATTTACAAAGAAAATATATCAAAGGACTAGCTGTTATTCAGAAAGTTGAAATCATGAATAACCATCAGGTAACTGAGATGAAAAACATGGTAAAAAATCTGAATAATTTAGGTTGCTTTAAGAAGGGATCCAGAAGATTTCGGTAGGTAATTATAAAAACGTTCCTTGAGAAGCAGTTTTTGGATTTTTCTTTCGAATGGTTCAGCTTTCAGGGCAACTTTCACTTCAGTTGTTCATAGACTGAAGGATAATAGATAACGCATTACCTCGTATTTTACAAATAAAGCTGAACCATTGAAGGTACTTTACTGAAATGAGGACTGCTAGCTTCATCATCTGGTGGAGTGAAACCTTATTTACATCTAGTAAGAGAAGTCGGCAAAAGCCTATTCGAATCTAAATATGTACAACAAAATATCATAGTTATAAATAATTATCATTAATATGGCAGTGAGCCTTTTCTCTCTCTGCGAGAGAAAAATCAATACTTAGCGATCAGTCATCAAGTTTTTTTCGAAGAAACTCGTTACAATGATATGAAATTCACACCGGATTGAAATTCCAGGATGAAACTTTTATGTCGAGGTTGTTCCTAGAGAATTTTGAACCTATTTTCTGTTACGAACAGATATTTTGAGCTAATCGTAAACTTTAATTGAATGGCATTATTCCATTGTTATTAAAACTAGGATCTTTCCGCAATGACGCTAGTGTCATGACATCTAAATTGTATTGCACGGATATTTCAATGTTTGAACTGTTCATACACGTAACACGTTTATTTAGCTGAATCTAACAAATTTTGCAAACGACTGAAAAGAAACAGCTGCAGAGTCGTTTTTCGATAGCTGAGAATACTGACGTTGTAATTTTGAGAAAAACGTTTCAGTACTGATGTTTAAACTTTTCAAATACCGTGTTGCTATTTTGAAAATGAACTCGATCATTTCCAGCCTCGACCAACGAAAGTTGCGTGACATCACTGACACTCAATAAATAGTAGTGCTGTTCTTTGGTTTGAGGAAGAGACCTAACCTGAGAATCGGTATTGCTGGTCGTTGGCGCTGGTCGAAGCAGCGGAGGACGAAGCGGCCGCAGAGGAAGTCTGAGCGTAGTTCGAGTAGTCAGGCGACTTCGTTGGGGTTGCTGGAGTGGATTTCACCCCGGACGAGTACTGAGCCTTGCTGGGTCTCTGCTGGAAGGCGTTCACTGCGTAGTTGGCCTGAGGCTGAGGTTGCGTGAAGATGATCTGAGGGGGAAGGGCAGGTGGGTTGGTGTAGATGAGGTTAGCGCCGAAGGGTGGCTGGATGGTGCGGTAGACTGCGTTGTTCGGGGGGATGACTGAGACCGTGCGCTGTCCCTGAGGAACGCCCTGAGGAGCACCTTGGGCGGCTTGTTGGGGGGCAGGGTGCTGGATGAAGTGCTGGGTGAAGGGACCGCGGAAGGCTTCCTGTCCCTGGGGAACGACGGGGACTACGTGTTGGGGGTATTGGGCCTGGGGGTACTGGGCCTGGGGTACGTAGTAAGCCTGGAAGGGGGGTACGTTGGGTTGGTTAGCGCCTGCAGCGCCGGCGGGGACGTAGTGGAGGGGCACGCCCTGGAACTCAGGGAACGTGAACTGGGGGGCAAAGTACTGTTGGGGCTGGACGAGGTACTGTTGTTGGAAGGCGGCGATCTGTTGGGGGCTCAGCTGGGGCACTTGGGCAGGACTCGGGGATCCCTGGGCGCTCTGTGCTTGTGGTCGCTGGTTCGATTCTTGCTCGATGTCCTCAAGCTTCACTTGGGACGATTGTTGGGCGGATTGCTGCTGCTGGGCCACGCATGCGGCGGCGAGGAGGAGCACTAGGCTCAGGGACTGCTTCTGAGAACAGAGAACAATTGGATTATCAGAACTTGCTCCGAAAAAATGTTCATACTTTGGTGTGAACAATCAGAGAAATACCCTTTGCTGGAATTATAGACATGTGACAATATGGATTACATTTTGCCGTAAGGAACCACTATTTCTGGCCCATTTTAAAGACAACGTACGTGCAATTTGGTTTCCGTATGCAGATGTGTGCTTTTACGTGGGAACCAGAGATAGTGGCTCCTTATTGCGAAACGTAATCCATATAATTCTTTGAACTTAGTATGGGCGGTTATGTTCAGGGCTGTAGCCAGGGGGGGCGAGAGGGGGCGTCGCCCCCCCAAGTGAGATTTTTCGCCCCCCCTAGTGATATTGCGGGGTTTAATTAACTTCATTATTTATAGTCCCGGACTTTAGTCAAAAGTTCGGTTATTATTCCTCAATCCTAAAAGAGTTGGTGAATCAACTTATCAACTTATCAACAAGTTATTTGTGGAGTTGTCTTACAGCCAGGGCGCACACGCTGATCGCAGATAGCTTGTTTTTGAAGATGAGGCGACAGGCGACAGGGCATAGAGAAAAAAAGGAGGTCTTTGCATTGCGGGCATCTTGGAATTTTTTTGATGACGTAGGTCGGCACAGCGACTTTTATCATCGATTTCCGATTCGGTCCGGATTCGATCCGATTCGAGTCACATATAAGCCTCTGTGAACTCTTAAATGCTCAAGACTTTTTTATACGCAAAAATCCAAGTCAAGTCAAAGCGACTCTTTCTCACTCCCCTCCACATATCTGCCATGTGTAACTCCCCCAGAAGAGATAGTCAGCTTGGGATTTCTAGGGATAGTCGTCAAAAAAATTCAATAACTCTCGGCAAAATACTAATTTTTAGACGTATGCCCTTCACGACTCTTGAAAACCCCTAAATATGTTTTTACTTTTTCCCCCTTTTTTTAAAAATGAGTAGTGATTTGGACACATCATAGCATAATCTGAGCAAACATAACCTTCACATTCCTCAAATATCCGTGCTTGATGGATGTTCATGTTGCATCTGCAAAACTGAAGGCGCGATAACGTGAGACTTGAACTCGAAATGCTCCGCTCTATGCTTTCAATGAGGTATCGTTCAGATTCGGGAAAAGAGTCAAAATCAAGGCCCGATCTCGTCTCTAAAATATTTTGCTGTGTTTCTCACGTAGCTCATGAAGCATCACCACAATAATAAGACAAACAGAACCAATACAACACGGAAATAGAGCAATAGAAAGGACCTGTGGTAAGACGGCGCAAAAATACAACTATTCGTGCTTGATTGATGTCGTCGTTGCATCTGCAAAATTGAAGGCGCGATGGCGTGAGGCGTGAACTCGCAACGCTCTGCCTCATGCTGCTGATGAGGTGCCGTCGCTCAGATTTGGTAGAAAAGTTATGAAACGAGACCCTATTACGTCTCTCCTATCTCCGGCTGTAGTGACTCTAGATTTTTTCCTATTTTTTTAAGTTCATGTCTGATTATTCTTTTTTTACGATGTATTTGAGGACCTGTATCTAAAGCTCGTTTTTGCCGACATCATACATCCCACGGGTCACATATTTTCAGCAAGCCTCGGATCAATTTGACCTGGCTTGGGTATTTAAGGGTTAAGTGAGTCCTGGTAAATTTAATTGTTCCTTACACGTATCAAATCATTTCCGAGGTCTTAATGGAGATGTTGCATGTGTGGGGGATTTGCGATTTGACCATTGATTCTTGTGTAAAAGTTCGCGAGAAACACGATGGT